GAACCCTTGGAAGTAACCCTCAGAGCCAAAGATTCTCAGCATCCTCGTGGACATGATGGCAGGGCCAGGTGACAAGGGCCCTGTTGACACCCATACTAACCTCTGTCCCCGAGCACTGCAGTTGCTACAACAATCTGAGGCACGTTTTAATCTACTTCCCCCAACAACCTGGGCTCTGTGGTTCTGCGCTGGCCTGGCGGCTTCTCTGCTTCCCAGACCCACTCAGGCTGGGCCAGGTGGAGCCAGGGGAACTGGGAGTCAGGGGAACTAGATGACAGTCCTCCTTCCCCTGGCAGTGTCCATGCTGGGGCCACTAGCTAATTGGTCACTCAGAGCTTGGGAGAAGGGCCCAGGCCTACCTTAGGGATGAAGAAGCCCTGCAACTCAATGTCACGGGTTGTCAAGTGAGGCACAGCTAGAGGGACAAGGTCTCCAAAACGCTGCACCTCGTGAATCACAGCCATGGTGAAGGGCATGCGGGCCTGGTCCCCCATCTCTGGCTGCCGCACCTGCCCTATCACTTCATCAATCTCCTGTTGGACGCGGCCTGGACAGACAAGCAACCCCCCAGTATATCAGCACCCAGGGGCCTGCACCCTTACCCTCTCCTATCTCAGGGCTGTGTCCAGGTTAGCAGGATATCAGGCTTATTGGGGACTGGGTCAGCTTATGCTTAGAGACACAAGAGTCCCACTTAAAATGAGGGGACCTTTTGTCTCTAAACTCTCCCTCCCCATCCCAGCTCACGCTGCACATTCAGGTGCAGGATCATGAGCAGGCCTAGGCCAGCATTGAGGTGGTCACCATCCCTGCGGTGAACAGGTCAAGCACCATGATGCGCAGGTTCTCATCATTGAAGCTGCTCTCAGGGTTCCCCTTGGCCTGGGTCAGGCAAAGAAGACAACACAGGAACAAGGAAGTCACTGGGTAATGCACAGGTCCCATCTTGCCTGGCCTCAGGCCTCACAGGACCCTCAGCCCACGTCCCCTAGCCTGTCTCAGGCAGCCCCACCTCACCTTCTCCACCTCTGCTAGGAAGGCGTCAGTCAGGTCTCGCGGTGGCTGGGCTGGGTCCCAGGTCATCCTGTGCTCCACCAACAGCTCATCCACCATGGCCTTGAAGGCCTTCTGTGCAGGGAAGACCCAGCCAGGCAGCCCTGGGATGCGCAGGAGCACTGGGACCACATTCAGCACCTGTGACAGCCACAGCGGGGACCTGGGTCCTTCTTGTGCTCCTCACTCTCCTGGACCACACTCAGGTCCCAGCCTCCCCCAGGGTGGACCCAGGCCTGCCTGTCCCACCCAGTGACCAGCTCCCTCCCCAGAGCCAGCCTCCAAGCTCTCTGCTGGCCTGGGCTGCCAGAAGGAGCAGCCCACCATGGGAATCTCGAGCTTGTGTGTTAGCTGGACAGCAGGCACGGGCTCATTTTCCTCTCCTGGAGCCCTCTGACCCTGGTCCACCTGTCCTGTTTGAGATGTGCTTAACTCCGGGCCTTCCCTCTTACAGTGTCCTTTCTAGAATGCCCTCTCCCATTGCCCCTGCATGCTAACCCTGCTTGGAATCTTGGTTGCACAGAATTGGCCCTGGATAGTACCCTAAACTCCTCACCATGGGCACAAAGCCAGAATCCTCTTTCACTGTGTCATCCAGAAGGACAAGTATCTTGGCCAAGCGTTGGTCATCATACTCAAAGCGTCGGGCATAGATGAGGGAGGAGATCACATTGCACACTGCTCTCTTCAGCAGGGACATGGGGTTAAAGGGGTTTCCTGGGTGGGGCCAGGCCAATCAGGATGTGGCTCCTGCCACCCAGGCCTGCCCATCTCATCCCCTTCCATGCCCCTCAGCCCATCACCCACCAGTCTTTTTGGCAAAGGCTGTACAGAGGCAGCTGGCCTCCTTGGTCACCAGCTGCTCCAAGGACCTCTTGCCCAGGCCAAAGTTGCGCATCGTCGACACAGAGAAGCGCCGCTGCTCACGCCAGGCATGTCCATAGGTTGCCATGATCACACCTGGGAATGTCGGGGACAGATTCTAAGCCTGAACCTGCCCTACCCTTCTCCTCCCCTGATGTCATAGGATTCCTCCTCTACTCAGGACACATGCATCTCTAGCTTTTCTCTGTAGGCCAGTGTGTCCATCCCTGTAGGTCCTGAAGTCACTGATCCCTATTTCCAGGTATCAGCCGCCCACACCAAAACATCCCCCAGTTTTCCATTTCTGCAGCTGCTGAAATTTGCCTTGAGACCGTGGTCCGAAGCCCAGGTGCTCATAGATGGGCCTCCACAGGCGGTCGGAGGTGTACTCGCTGTGGTTCACCAGCGCCTCCCGCACAGCGGCCAGCCCATTGAGCACAATGACAGGCTTCCAGGCCAGCTGCAGGCTGAACACGTCACCAAAGCGGAACCTCATCTGTAGGTAAAAGGGCCATGTATTTGTCCAGCTGAACTCCCTGCTGGGCTGCAGACCTTCGCCTCACCACAAAAGACCCAGGGACTCTGCAGTGTGCCAACTCCGGGAAGAGACCTGGTATTGACATGTGGGAACATGGGGTTGGGAGTCACACCCTGTAAAGTGGACTAACTCAGTTTGTATTCAACTTTCTGGATCCACAGCTATGACCTTGCCAATCAGGATATTGTCAATCAGGACAATAGTGCTCCACTGTACAGAGCAGGAGACAGGGTCACACAGGTGAGCAGTGAGGTGCAAGAGCCACAGAAGAAAATTTGAAGTGGGTCTCTCAATCTGTGTCCACTTCAGTTGCTGAATGATGTTGCTACTCAGGACCCTGGCCCCTCCCCATCCCCACGACCTTTCCCTCTGATGGAATCACAAGGGACTGGGGCCTACACAATTTATACCTGTCCACCTGGATCCCAAACCCAGTGCCAATCCAGTCCCAACTCCTGGCCTTTGTCCTCTCACACCTTTGCCCTTGGAAAGTTGAAAGTGTCCTCGAGCTCTGCCGTGCCCTCTCCCAGGACGCCTCTCAGCCTGCTTCCTTTCACTGCACAACTCCTGGTCCACCTTGGCTTCACTCTCAACCCATCTCTTTTTGTCCTGGGTTCCCTCCACTGTGATCCACCAGACACTCCCTGACCCTGGGTGTTGGAGGGTACTGGGGATTAATCCCAGGGGCACTTAACCACTGAGTTACATTCCCAGCCCTTTCTATTGTTTATTTTGATGTAAGCTCTCACTACATTGCTCAGTCTACCTGGAACTTGCAATCCTCCTGCCTCAGCTACTTGAGATGCTGGGATCACAGGTGTGCACCACCAAACCTGGCTCCTTTACCTTTTGGAAGGAGCTGGGCATGTTCTGGAAGTCAATCTGCAGCAGGTTGCCCAGCCCGGGCAGTGGCAGAGGGCCTGGCGGGTAGCGTGCAGCCCAGCGTTGGCGCCGGTGCATCAGGTCCACCAGGAGCAGGAAGACGGCCACGGCCACACTCAGGGCCCACAGTGCGTCCCCGGTGAGCAGCCCCATGGCTGCCGTGCTGTCCACGAGCTCCTCTGGCACACCCGGCTCCCCTGGCCACTCCAGGTACCTGGGGCCAGGGAGGAGAGTCTTGTTACACCCTGGGCACTTGACTGCCTGGGCCCTTCCCTTATAAAGGAGCTGAGGCTGCCCTTCGCCCTCTGCCTGGAGCCAACACACTCTGTTGACTGTGCAGGCAGAGAGTGCAGGGAGGGGCCAGGGCAGGGGCAGCCTCCCAGGCCCTTGGCCCTCCTGCCCTCTCCAGGTGACACCCAGGGGAGGGCATGGAGATAGGGAATCGCCCCCGTCCCTGCACCTTACTCTCTGAAGGAGGCCCAGGCTCATCACAGCACCAAGGTGTGCCTTGAGTGCCCTCCGCACCTCACAGGGCCCCCTCTCTGACGTGGCCACGCCTGCCCCTGAGCACTGCCCCTCCTTCCTTGCCTCCCCTCCCTCTCCTCAGGGCCTTCAACTCACACTTGCCATGCACACCAGCCTGGGTCCTCCATGTGTGGTGGCATAGGAGAGTCTACAATCAGGGTCTCATCCTTTCTGCTGCCCCCATTATGGTCTGGATGTGAGGTGTCCCCAGAAGCTGACATGTGAGACAATGCAAGAAGGTTCTGAGTCTTAACCCAATCAGTGAATTATTCCCCCATATGGATTAATAGACTGGTAATTGAAGAGGCAGGGTGTGGCTGGAGGAGGTGGGAATCGGGGCACAGCTTTGGGGTGTACAGTTGTATCTGGGGAATGGAGACCTCCTTCTCTGCTTCTGGATCACCATGAGCTGCTTCCCTCAGTTCCAGTCTCCCGCCATGATGCTCAGCCTCACCTCCAGCCCTGAGATATGCAGCTGGCCTTCTGTGGACTAAGACCTCTGAAACCGTGAGCCCTCAAATAAACCTTTTCCTCTACAGTCGTTCTACTTTTAGTCACAGCAGCGAAACAGCTGACTGAAACACCCCCGCCCCATTGCCCATGGCTGATGGCTCCCCCTAGGGCAGGCCTGCTCCCCGCAAGGCCCATTCCGTCTCAGACCAACCTGGCTTCAGAGGATGGCACCTTGGGTTGGACCTGAGACAAGGACCTTCCTCTAGATCCAGCCTGGCCTGAAAGGAACCTCCTCCCTGCACAGGGCCCCGGACACCAGGAGTAATCAGAGGCCAGGGAAGGAGCCCCATCATGCCTTCTAGGGACAGAGAGGCTCAGTGAGATGGCTGCCCCATTGGCTCTCATCAGGGAACTTCTGGCACCTGATGACTGAGCCCTGGTGTTAATCCTAACATAGGTCTTCCAGCCTTTCCTGATTTCTCTAAGTTTTGTGGTGTCACCTATGAAGTTTGGTCAGAGAGGTGATGGCGCTGGCTAAGCAGCTGGCCTCTAGTGTGGGCATCCAGGCCAAGTGAGCCCCTGGGCAGTAGACAGCCCCTGAGCAGCTCTGGAGTGTTTAATTGCTGGTATAAGAGTATTAAGAGGGGATCTTTCAGAGTGGCTGGATCACAAGGACTTTGTCATGGTTGGATCACGGTTACTGCAGGAGTGGGCTAGTTTTTATAGGACTAGGTTTGTTATAAATCAAGTACGGCCCACTTTCTCTCTGCCTCACGTGCTCACTTGCCCTTTGCCATGTTAGGCTCAGCATGAAGGCCCTCCACAATCAGCTCCTTGCTCTGGGACCACCCATCTTCCAGAACCATGAGCTGAACAAAGTGCTACTGCTTATAAGTTACCCGATCTCTGCTACTTTGCTACCAAAGCAGAAAATGGATTCATACAGGAGAATCCATGGATTAACTATTTGTCCACAACCTGGATAGATGGAACAAGGAAGGAGACAGAAGGGCACTATTGTAGTAGTTAACAACCCCCAAAGGGAAGTGACATCAACAGGACGGTGGGGCAGAGAACCCGGGGATGGGCCCCTCCACTGATATAACCAGTAGACTGCAAAAGAGGATCGGGATCCACCATTTCAGAAGTCGGCCTCCCGCTGGGTCAGGACAGCAACCAAGGCAGCTCTGATAAAGGCGGAGGCTGTGGCTCTTTGCTAAGGGCAAAGTCTGTGCAAACACATCCAGTCCCCTGTTCTCATGCAGAGAATGGCCTGAGTTCTTGGACCACGTGGCTGGTACCAGGGTGGGTGAAGACCTTGCCCTCCACAAATGTGAGGCTGTGCTCTGACAGGGTGGCAGACACTGAAGGACCCACAGACCTCTGCCTGGGCTGCAGAGCTCCCGGCTCTAGCAGTTTCTTTCCCAGTAGCACCCATCAGGAGAGTCAGAGGTAGTAGTAGCTCGTTTTCCCTCTTAGGAGCCAGGCGTTTAAGGCCATCTTTGTGGGAAGGTGTGTGGAGCAGGCCTCGGTGCCCGACAGGCCAGGGTGCTGGCTGGTGTTCCTATGCTGCTCCTGCCTCGGCACCAACCGCAGTGGGGCCAGGAGTGTGACCTGCCTTCCCCCAGCTCCTCTCAACTCCTTGCCCGGCACTGCCAGCCTCACTGAGGGTGTGGACAGGAAAGCACTTGGTCCTGCTCTGAGATGGGCTCCCAGTTTTCATGAAGCACTGATACCCTGAAGAGGGGAGTGACACACCCCCAGCAAACGTCTGTAAAATAATCCGAGCAGAAAAAGGAGGCCCAGCCGCTGAGCCTGGAAGTATTGGTGCAGCTCTGCTTGCTGTGGATGGCGGCCTCTTCCTGACGCAGACGCTCTGGGTGCCCATGGTCGTGCTCAGAGGCCACAGCTCCTGGACAGCGAGGCTGCCAACAAAGTGGGAGAACTTGGGAGTTTTGAGAAAGAATTTTTACTTTGAATCCACATCTGCAACACGAAGAAACTGTATGGGGTTTGCTTTGCCCCTTTAAATATCAGAATCATTGTTTAAGGAAACAGTGGCGAGGGTCCCCTCCTGTCACTGTGAAATCAGCATTTGTACTGCTTCCCTTATCCGGAATTACAGTTTACAAAGGAAATGCTTCCATTTCCTATAAAATATAAACCTCAAAAGAAAAAGAATCATCTACAGTTCACTGACTGAACTCAGGGACAGTGGAGCAGAAAACTCAGCAACCTCAGTCAACAAGGAATACATGCTCTGCAGAAGTAGTTTTCACCAAGTCCTGAATGTGGGGTGGGGTGCTGTCTGTGGGGAGGCACGCCTGGCGCCCTGGGTACGATGCTCAGCACTGGGAGAGAAAAGGTCGCACACGGTCAGCTCCAGCCTTGATATAAAAATGAGCAATTTCTGGGGAAGGTAAGAATTCTATTTCCAGAGATGTCAGGGCAAAGCCCTCCCAATGCCCAGGCGGGGGTGGAATCACAAAACAGAAAGAAACAGGAAAGTATGGCTGGTTCACAGAGGGGAAAAATGTGATAGAAACCATCCCTGCAGAAATCTAGACACTGGAATTTTTGACAAGAATGTAAGTGTTAAAAGAATCCAAGGACAAAGGACTGAAGGGAAAAGGAGGCAAGGTAATGTAGGAGAAAACAGAAAATGCCACCAAGGAAAACATGTAAACAACCAAACAGAAAATACGTAGCTGACAGCTGTGCGGAAACTGGGTCTGATCCTCAGCACCACATAAAAACTTAAAAAAAGTCTTGTGTCCATCTACAACTAAAAAATTAAAATAAAATAAAGAAATTATGGACCTGAAAAGTACAATGAAGGAAACAAAAACCCAGTCAATGGGTTCCACTGCAGTGTGGGCATCTGCCAGGCTGCCCACATCTAAACACCACAGACTGGTGGCTTAAAGAACATGAATGTACTTTGTCACAATTCCAGAGGCTAAAAGTCCCAGATCAAGCTTCAGCAGGGGACGTTTCTGATAGGGTCTCTCTTCCTGGCTCACAGTCAGCTGCCTTCCTGTTGTGTTGTAATGTGGCAAAGAATGCAGGGTGGGTGCGGGTCCAGCTCTGCTGTCTCTCCTTAGAAGCTAATCCTAGTGGATCTGGCCCCTCTTGTATGTCCTTGTTTACATGAACTATCTCTGTAAAGGCCCTACCTCCAAATAGTCCACGGATGCACTTGTGGGGAGGGGCTACACAACCACGGACTCCATAACAAACCTTCTCTGACCAGGCACAAGAAGGGATCAATGAATTCAAGGTAAGACCCTGAAGCCATCCAGTATGAGGAGCAAAATGAAAACCTAAGTAGACCTGAAGGCCCTCAGGCTTCCAGTACAAGCACCACAGTGGACTCAGAGGAAGAGAGAACAGGAACAAGGATATGAAGAAAAAATGCTGAACATTTGTTCAGCAATCTGGCCCAAAACAGAAACACACGAAAGAAGCTCTGTGAAATCAAAGCAGCTAAACCCAAAGACACCCCCATAGACCCGGGGCATCACATACTGGAAACACAGAGCCACAGAGAGACTTGTCCTCACTGCATCACAGCCCACGGATTCCTTCAACCAATAAATACCACGCTGCTGCTGTGTGTCAGGCACCGTCCTAGGCGCTGATGATGGGGAACTTCAGTCCTAATAAGGTTGATATTCTGGGGACAGAGGCCATAAAACACTGAACATTGAATATGCGGCACTCGGGGCGCGCGGAGAGGCCGCAACACAGTTGGCTGCGGGGGCTGCAGGGGCTGCAGAGCTGGAGGCCGGGGCTGGGAACATTCCACACACTCTGACCGGGAAGAGCAGGTGATAAGCCGCGTGCACTGTGCAGAGGAGGTCAGGCAGAGTCAGGCGCGGGTCCCCGAGGCCCGGGGCCGCAGGGACAGAGGGGACGCACGAACTACGAGGCCTGGGCAACCTGGGTACGATGCTCAGCACTGGGAGAGAAAAGGTCGCACACGGTCAGCTCCAGCCTTGATATAAAAATGAGCAATTTCTGGGGAAGGTAAGAATTTTATTTCCAGAGTTGTCAGGGCAAAGCCCTCCCAATGCCCAGGCGGGGGTGGAATCACAAAACAGAAAGAAACAGGAAAGTATGGCTGGTTCACAGAGGGGAAAAATGTGATTTTTGAGAGGCCATGACTCTCAGCCTTCTGCTCTATGGGTGCCAACGCGGGTCCTCCGACCCTGACAGCAAACACGAGACAGCCACGGCGTGACACAGGAGACCTGGCTACCGCCCCCTGCTCCCACTCGCTCCTCTGGCCAGCTGGATCGGCAGGAGCGCGCAGCTTGGTGGGGGAGAGTCACACAGGCCGCGCCCCTCGCCCGCCCGCCGCAGCGGAGGTCTTGCCCTCGAGCGTCCCGGGCTGCGCCTCGCTGCTTCATCCGAGAGCAGCTCCCCATACCTGCAGGAGACGGGCGGCCTGGGCTGGCGGCGAGGGGTGCAGCTGGCAGAGAGCAAGAGACGCGAGGGTGCGGAAACCTCCGCCTGCTCACAGGCCTGAGGTGCTTCTGGCCCTCGTTGACCCCGCTCCCTCCCAGAGGCCTCTGGGACTCGTAGTCTGCTCATTGCCCCGCCCCCGCCCAGAGGCTTCTGGGACTCGTAGTCTTCCCGTTACCTCGCCCCTGCCCCAGTTTACCCTGGGACTTGTAGTCCATGTGGAGTTCAGAGGTCCCAGGGACTTGGAGACCACCCTTGTGCCCAGAGGCTTCCACGCTCTGGCTACGGACCCCTGGTACTTGTCGTCCAATCTGTGCACCTAGTTACCTCTAGGACTTGGTGGCCAACTCTTCTACCAGAGGCCACAGGACTGGTACTATGCCTATGTGCACAGGTGTTCCTGGGCTCTTCGTAGGACAAGGCCCCCTCAGTGGCACTATGCCCACAGCTGGTATTAAGGGGACAAGTTGAAAAGCCATGAAGACGCAGCTCATCACATACCAGAAACCTAAATGAGAGCCACAGTTTTTCATCAGAGGTCGCCAGACCCAAAGACACACAATCACAGGTTACAAGCCTGAAAGAAAATAGACTGTCAACCGGAGTATGTGACAAAACCGTCCATTACAAAAGAAGATGAAATAAAGACATTTCCAGATAAACACTGAGGGAGTTCATTATTAGTGGGCCTTGTTAAGACAGAATGCGCAAAGAAATCTCCAGAGACAAACTCTCGTGTTCCGAAAACAAAGCTTATTGACAGGAAAAGCCTGCCAGGCTGCCCAGTTGAGTGGCACAGCAGACAGAGTTATCTTAATAGGGTTTTTAATGTCCTTCAACAAGGAATAAGTGTTAGGTGCAGGGCAGGGTGAACTAAGTTGTCTGCAGGGCAGGCTGAATGAATGTTAGCTGCAGGATAACCCAGGCACTCAAACCCCACTGTCTGGTCCTTTATCACCTGTTTGCATCAAGTCTGAACACTCAATCCCACTCAAGGCTGAACACTCGACCCTCACCCTTCGGGTGCAACAGAAACCCACTTCTGACCCCTGTGCCATCTGCCTGTAGGCAGAGGATGACACCCTTAGCAACTACTGTATGATCCAATCACTGTACGCCAACAAGGAAGCTTGCAGACCCAGAAATCCCATCAGATTTTGGCTATAAAAACTCCCTCCTGCCAGGACCCCCTCTCTTGCTCTCTCTTTCTTCTCTTGCTTTCATTCTCTCTCCCTCTCACCCTCTCTCTTGCTCTCTTTTTTCTCTTGTGTTCCCCCTCTCTCTCTCTCTTCTCTCTTTCCCTGCTCTCTTTCTCTCTCTTTTCTTCTCTTTTGCACGCTGCAATAAAGATCTCTTGGTGGCTCCAAGTACCGTGGTCACTTTCCTTTCAATAAAAGCAAGCCGGACATGGCCTGGAGTGTAGCAGCTAGAATTGACCTTGAATGCAGGGGGCTAGGCAATAACAGAATTTTGTACTTAGGGACCTTGGAAGGAGCGGTGGTTATTGTCACATCAGGCGGGGCAGGCAGCGGTCAAAGGAGGCAGATTTAAAAGGGCCTCTGAACAGGCTTTATTGAGATCTCACTCCCGGGCGGAACTCAATCAGACCCACAGAGGGGACAGGGGAAGGGTCTGAGGAGAAACCGCGTGGAAGCTCGACCGGACTGGACTTTTATGGGGCTTACAGCTGGAAGGGAAGGGCTCGGGACAGGAAAAGGTGTTCTTAGGGTCCCTTGCCCCCTTGGAGTTGGTCAGGGGAGTTGGCTGAACTCCAGGATTGGCCAGGGGGGTCCTGCTGATTGACAGACGTTAGTCAGGAGATCTGGCTGATTGACAAGTATTTCCGCCGGCATCTGATTGATGTTCTTTTCCGGCGCGGGCTGCTTTGTTCTAAGTTGCCAGTAAGTCACCACCAAGTCACCACCACCAACCTAACAGTTATGGGAACAGGGTATCTTAAGTTTCTTTTCCTTGGAAGTTGATAAGTTTCAGTTTCGAGTCAAGATGGAGGCCAAAGCCAATGTGGAGTTACTAATGTCTAGGATATCCCATCATTCCCCGCTCTGTGTTTTATTATGATAGAAGGCTGGAGGTCAGTCTTCTATAACTACATCCTGCTGGGAAGGGGCAGTGCAGTGGTCTCTGGGCAAAAGGTGTGGGGGCCTTGGGGTTAGGGATTTTTAGACTTTCCAGGTGTGATTGTTCTGTAACCTTCTGGGAGTCTCTCAGGATGGAGTCTCGTGTAGTTACCCAAAACCATTTGGTTGACCATCTGTTTGGTGAAAATCTTTATCTGGTCCATCAGGAAATTCTGGAGACAGTTGAGGATGCAAGGACTACGAGAATCATTAGAAAATGCCCAGTGAGGGGGGCTATCCAGGGCCAGAAGCACCCTAGGAGGCCCATACCCAAACAAGAGTCGTCTCTTTTAGCTATTTTTGTGGCCAGTTTTTTTTTTTTTTTAAGTTCTTCGACTGTGTCCCTAACTATGTTGGATTCTTTGACATAAAAACAGCATTCCTCCTGGAGAAAGACACATAGGCCTCCTTTTTTTCCCCAGCATAAGGTCAAGCGCCTGTGGATTTTGAAGGGCCATAGCCACCAGGAAGCCCACCTGATTATGTAAAGTCAGCACTAAGTCAGTGCCCTATTGGGTATCTGTAATAACTGGTGCCATCTATTTTTATCATGAATAGAGGTTTCTAATTCTGTTGCTCTTGTATTAGCCCTGGTGGGTGTTTTTAGCCCTATGAGTAAGGGAATAACTTGAGGGCTCTTCTAGGTCAGGTGTGTGTTGTTATTGGAATGGATAGACTTTGGTTGTGGGGTTAAACGTCTGTTTGGGAAGTAAAGAAAATTAAGGTATGGGGCCAATTTATGAGTTTCGCAAAGGATAAAAATCCTGAGAAGTTAGAGGCCATGAGGGCATGGCACTGACATAAGTGTACCTCTTAAGTTTTATTTAAAAGAATTATTGTTTTCTTTTAAAATGCCCATGTGTGCCTGTGTTTTACTCTCCTGCCAGGTGTTTAAGACCAAGTTGGTTAAAAATTGACCTTGTTCCTCCCTGCTATAAGAGTCAGCTGAGTTTCCATAGAGGTCACTCTTGAGAAACTTGAGAGTAGCTTCTTAGCTCTACTAGTGCCATTTACGCTAGGATGGGTCAAGGTCTCGCTGACCAAATGGATTCCCTTGGAAGCATCAGGGATGTTTCCTTTCTCCAATGACCCTCCTCTTTGTAGCAGGTGCATGGATTGGCTTTCTGTTCTCCAGTGGTCTCATTAATCTCCCTGATTGGGAGGTCATGTGGCCCAGAGTTGTAGAGCCCCTTAGAGAAGCACTCTCATTCCCTGGGTTTAGGCTGACTCAGAGGGCAAGAGCCCAATATTGGTTTTCTTGGTTCCCCTTTTCCTAACTTTAATCTTTAAGCCTTGGTGTTAAACATCCATCAAGCCAGTCTTACCATTCTTAAAGTAAGAGTATTGGGCTTTAACTTTAATGTCAATAACCTTATAGTCTCGGGCTGGGATGGTGGCTCAGCGGTAGAGCGCTTGCCTAGCATGTGTGAGGCCCTGGGTTCGACCCTCAGCACCACATAAAAATAAATAAATAAAAATAAAGGCATTGTGTCCAACTACAACTAAAAAACAAATATTTTAAAAATAACCTTATAGTCTTTTACCCCTTAATTAAATAATTTGGGTCTGTATCTGTACTGGAAGTTAGCCTTATATCCTATTTGTTTAGTAGGTGATATATCTTAAACTAACTCAGGTTCGGTGTTCTTGAAGCAGTACCTCTGCAAAACATTAACAGGCAACAGTTATAAAGTTCACAAGGAAAACACAAAATGAAATTAACAAGAGTAAAAATATGTTCAGATTGTGTAATAGCTAGCTTGAATTTTGGCTGCCTTGTACATTATAACCCTGTTTGAGATTATAGTAATCTTTATAACAAGTATCAATCTTCAGAACATAACTTTAAATGAGCTTAGGTCTATCTACTTTGAGATTATCTTAACATGGAGTATCGTGAGGGAATCTGAATTGAGGTGAGGTGGGGATCTTGGCAAATTTTAGGAAAAGTGTTTTAGCTTCAAAATTAATCCTTGTTTCTTTCTAAATGTCATTTTACAAAGTTTGTATATAATATTTCTTGAGTCTATATGAACATAGTTAACATAATATTACATTTAGAACATGAGTCAGAGAAAGGCTGAGAGAGCATGTATCGTTCTTCTGTGTGGATAAGGGGCAATGTATTTTCATGTTTTACAATATTACCTTTAAATAGATTAGGTTCTCCTTATTATCTTTTAAAAATGTATTCAAATTTCAATTTCAGTGTGACAGGTAACACAAAATTGCATATATAACTTGCTGACAACTGGTTACTTTATCCAGCTATGAAACATTAAGTGACATGAGTAAATATCAACCCAGTTTGTTATTTCTATAGAAATCTGAGAAAATTTAGAATGCAGGGTGTATGGTAACAATAATCATATGTCTGTATGGGTTAATAAAATTAAAGGATAGCCTTAAATCTCTTATACATTTAGGACACAGTGTTAATGATCAGAAATTGACTTACAGTAAACAGACATAAGACAGATCTTTAAATAACAGTGTGACCCTTCTATGGCCCTGTAGAAAAGAGAGAGCAGTTATTGGTTAACTTGCAGGTAAGCTTATATAAACTTTGATTTTATAAACTTTTAAATAACATTTAGATAAGGCTTGGACAGATATGTATACATACACCTAGTCACTTATGTTTGGGGTATGTATTGTTATAATTTAAATGACAACCAATTATAAAGTAATCATTTAAGACTTTCAAACAGATGCAAAGCCTAATTTTTTAAGACTTAGGTTCCTCAAGTAATGAAACCTAACAAATACAAATACAAGAAAATTATCTCGATAGATACGAGTGAACCAATGTTTTAGACTACTTCCTGTCAGTACACCAAGTTTCAAATAACTGTGCTAATAAAAGACCCCCGACAAATGTAAACTTCACAAACCAGCCCAGGTCTCTTCCTGGATGTGTGAAGTCGGCTGAGTGTGGGAGGGAAGGTTGGTAAGGGAAGAAGTAGGTCTCTTTTCATGCCCTCAGAGGGCTTGCTGTAAAGCCCTTTGCTGTCCAAGCATAGTGGAAGTTTAGCATGTCCTTGATATCTGTGCCCCGGGGGCTGTCGGAGTCAGGTTTCAGGCCAAAGTCTGCTGGCAACCCTAGAGAGTTGCCCCAGCCAGATGCCCTCTGTCACCTTGAGCCTTCCTCGTGCCACGCACCAAAATTCTCCCAAACAGCAGTTGATACTCGGTACCCCTGAGGGCTGTTGGAGTTAGGCTTTAGTCCCAAGACCTCACACAGCACCAGAGAGTGACCCTGGCTGGCCAGATTCAATTATCCTGGGTGTCTGCCTCTCTCCCACACCAAATTTCTTCCTTATAAAGTGGAGAGCAAAGGGTACGGGTTGGGAAAGCAGTGAGTTTAGAGATTGAGTGGTAGCATGCAGGAGTTTCAGAGGACCTTGGGGGTGCTGGACAGTCACTTTCCTGGCCTCATCAGCTGTTTAACTGACCGTGGAGGAAGGGAAGGGTTACGGAACATTATCTTGCTCTCGGTTCCTGGTCAGGGAACCAATCCAATCACAAACAGACTTTTTGAGATTCAGCCTTGCAAACCTCCTGTGACTTAATAAAACATTTGTAGTTCGTTTATATCCTTAGTTTTGTCTTCTTTTTTTATGCTAATTTTATTTTATTTTTTTATTTTTTTTAATTTATTTTTTTTATTGGTTGTTCAAAACATTACAATTTTGCCTTCTTTCATCTTAGATTTTAGCAAAAAAATATTAATTTACCAGACAAAATATTTTTTTCATTTAGAAACCTTTTTTGACCTTTAAATTTTTCATATTAAAATATGTTTGCATACCTATAACCTTTTATCTCTTTTAGTTTTAGACCTTTTCTTCTGGTGTCCTGTTACCCTTGCCTGTTAGAGGCCGTGCCTTTGGGCACCTTTAACTCAGTGCCTGACTGTTCAGACTCCTAATCATATCATTGAATAAATGTCCATACATACAGAATCTCTTTCATATATTTTACCTCTGACAGATTAATTTTTAATTGTAAGATTGTATAATTACCTGCAAAACCATTTAAAGACCAGATAGTGATAGTGAAGCATCTTAAACAGGCCCATACCTATAGGTGGCCCAAGATTTTAAGAGACTGCCGTAGTCTGGCTGGGCACAATTCAGGAGCCACTTGTCAAAAGAAACGAACTTTATTTTTAGAACCACACACGCCAAACAAAACAGCTCCTCAGGAAAAACCTTCAGAGCCCAACTGCCACCACCGGCTTCCCACAAGCCTCTCAACCTCCCCCACTCCTCCTGCTCTTGAGGCCGATTGGCTGGGTCGCGTGGGCGGAGCCAAAAAAAGTCCCCCAATGAGCAGCTCCATTGTCTGAAAGGGCGGGGAAACAGCCCAATGAGCATCACCGCAGAGGAGCCAATCAGCTAGAAGTTGCTGGGGCCGCTGTGAGCCAATCATCAGCTGGCAGTCTGAAAGTTTGCTGGGGCCCCTTGGCTGTGGCTCTCAACAAGAGACTACTGATAAGATCAATGTAACATGGCCCTCATGCTAAAGGGCCAGTAACAGATAAACAAGAAAGAATTACCAAAACCATGTCTGACAGGCGAGAACCTTTGGAAGCAGAAAAACCTGTACATACAAATTTCTTTTTTAGCTCAGGTAGTGAAGGACACAGGGCAGGTGGAGGGTGTGGGACCCCTGCAGCTGGCTCAGAAGCTGCTCTCTCCTCCCTGCCGACCTGACTCCCAGAGCCAGGAGTCCAGGAGTTTTGACCTTCAGGGACCTAAAGTCTGGTGCCATCAGGTTCAAATAAAATAGGAGTATTTCATGTTGTGAGTTTTTCAGAACATACATGACAGTAGAATTTTAACCCTTCATTATCTTGATTTTAGTGATGACCGGAAACAAAGCAATCTTCAATGTTACATTGAGCGACAATTGAACTTTATGTGCAGAAAGAAATGAAAGTTTCAAAAAAACACTGTCAAAAGTTTGGGGAAAATTCAGCAAAGTAGAGGATACAAAGTCAGCATGCACAAATCAGCTGTGCAAATTACCTGAGAATGAAATTATAATTTTATCTAAAATACTATCAAGTAAAATAAAATAAATGAAGGAAATCAGTAATCCAAGGACGTCCAAGATGTATATAGCAAAAACTAGAAAAAATTGCAAAGAAAGATAGAGAAGACATAAATAAATATTGAATAAATAAAATAGAGAAATCAAAGAAGAATTAATAAACGAAAAGAAATACTTTATTGTTCATGGATTGATACTTGCATATCAACAGATTAACATTCAGGGCTGGGGCTTCGGTTCAGTCAGAGAGCACTTGCCCAGCTTGCATGAGGTCTTGGGATGGATCCCCAGCATCACAAGGAAAAAAAAAGATTAAATTCAAAATTTGAGGCACAGATTTTACGGAATGCCTATAGTTACTGGACAGCCATAAAGGGAAAAATGGTTTCTCAAACCATTTTTTGGGACCATCTGTACACAGCTGAAGTAATCAAATCCGTGTGGTACTGGCAGGAGGAAAGACAAACACAACAAATGAGATTCCTGGAAATAAATCTTTCTGGACAGTCATGTGACAAGTGTGGACATATAATGACGCTCCACCACATATACATGAACCTAAAATGCTCCTATCACCTGGTCACATTGAACTCAACATTGAGCACAACTGCCTCCGCCATTCAGTACAGTGACCTGCGCACAGGCGTGGCCTAGGAGGAGGAGGAGGCGCTATCACCAGGCCCAGGTGTGTAGGGGACTGCACCTGGGTGTATGCAGGTAAGCCCTGTGGTTCTGCAAACAAGGAATCGCCTGACAACACAGGCCTCAGAACATTCCCCACATTAACCCTTTCACTCCATGTGGTCAGATGATTTCCAACAACGGTGCCGACACCATTCCACGGGAAAGCACAGCCCCCTCCAGAAACGGTGCTGGGAAAACTGCACGTCCACACGCACAGGAGTGCAGCCACCCTCAGCCGGCACATATGCAAAATTAACATTCGATCAAAGTCCCCACGTATGAGCTCAAAAACCACGAGGACAAATTGGACTTCATGAAAATTGAACCCTTTGGGCATGGGAGGCCGCTCTCCACAGAGGGAGAAGGCCACACAGAGTGGGAGAAGATGACCACAAGAAGCACCTCTAACTAGAGCAAGGCCCTGCGCCCGTGGAGAACAGACCACCCCTCACCCACCAGGACGCCTCCTACCAGAGGACAAGCACCAGCTGGCACGGGGGCCACGCTGGTCTTCCCAGCTACCCAGGAGCCTGAGGCAGGAGGATCACAAGTTCAAGACCAGCCTCAGCAACTTAGCGAGGCCCTGTCTCAGTAAATCAGAAACGGCTGGGCAGGTGGCTCAGAGGCAGAGCTCTTGTCCTAGAAGGCACAAGGCCCTGGGCTCAGCCCAGTACAGCAAGAGAGGAAGAAAGGCAGGCAGGAGGGGGAGGAACCAACCACAGAAAACAAGGGCTGCCAGCTTGGGCAGGGCGTGGAGCCCTGTGCTCTGGGCGGGAACCTCAATGGTAGAGCCACCGCGGGAAACAGCACAGTGGGCCTCAAAGATGGAAAGAGACTTGCACCGGGAGCCAGAATTCCACTTCTGAGCCTATGTCCACAGGAGTTGGAGGAGGGTCTCACAGACACCGCTGTACCCCCACGGTCACGGCTGCAGGTGGAGGCCAGTGTCCTCTGGCAGGTGAGTGGGTCAGGAAAGCAGGGGACAGGAGCCCTTATCCACAGAGACCCACCCCAGGGCCCCAGGGGATGCCTGAAGCTGCGCACGAGCCACGCTGCACACTGTGCTGCTGTCCCTACCCACTCGTGCCCACCAGGAGGGTTAATTTGTAGCCTGGGCACAGCAGGGACGATAACACGGCTGACCCGGGAGCTGGCCAGCAGCGCCCTGCAGTGAGGGTCTGTGGGCTTGGTCTCCTGCCAAGTATCTCACTGTCCGCACCTGCCCTTCACCCTTACTCTACAGTGGGAGACTAATACCTGTACCTTAATACCCAGGTGATAAGATGAAGTGATGCAAGCTAATTTATAAATTAGATGTAGTTAATAACAAAAACTGATAAGAGAACTATTAACAACTACACACCAGGAAATGAAAGCTATTGGAACGTGGTCCCTTTCTGTCAGAACATCTTATTATACCTCACGTGTCCTTTAACTCTTACAATGGTGTGAGGTGCTGTGCCACCTGGGTGGTGAAATGAAGTGACAGTTGTGTTGTGATGTGGCATTAGGCTATTATTGACCTTTTTACTTGAAGACAAGCACTGGAGTGTCCTATAGTTGAGCTGATCACCAAGACCCCTACAAAGTGACTAATGGGCTAGTAGCAAATACTAGCTCTGGGCAAAAGCATCATTCATGTCTGTAATGAGCAGGATGAAGGGAGAAGTCAGGAGATTTCATTGATCTCTTCAGAATGGCATCCAACTTAAAATTCACAAATTGTTTATTACTGGAATTTTCCACATATGACTTTTTGGACTGTGGTTGTCCATTCTTATATGAAACCAAGGAAAGAGGAACAGGGATACAGAGGGACTACTGTGCAAAGAAATGTTATTCTGCTTAAAAAGGAAGGAAGCCCTGGTGCCTGCTATGGCATGGACGAACTTTGAGTACATTACCTTTGGGGAAATAAACCAGTCATAAAAGATGTGGATGATTCCATCATACACAGGAGCTTGTCAGGGGTCAAGATTGGACCAAGAAATCAAGTGGCAGCCACAAGACAGGCTTATTGTATATCAGGGTTCCAATTGGAGGCAGGTTGGGGAATTGGTGCCCCTTCTAGTAGAGCACAGCACAGAGTTGGTAGGGAGATGGGGCAACAATGAAGGCAAAGACACCACAGTCACTGGGCCGGGCTTGTCCAGGGGGCACTGAGAAGCTAAAGCGCTGCAGGAGGCAGGTGAAGAAGAGGAAGAGCTCCATGCGGGCCAGGGGCTCCCCGAGGCACACACGGCGGCCTGTGAGGGGGACTCGGGCTCAGTCAGCCTGTCCCTGGCCTCCACCCCTCCAAGGAGCCCTGGGGAGGGACAGGGAGGCCCCACAGGCACCTGCTGAGAAAGGCATGAAGGCCTCCCGCTTCACAAAGTGGCCCTGGGCATCCAGGGTGAAAGAGGAGGGGCTTCTCCCAGATGGTCTCATCCTTTAGCACAGATGACAGGTTGGTGATGAGCGTTGTCCCCTGGAGGAGATGCCTGCCATGAGCAGGGACTGGGAGGTATGACATAAGGACCCCTCCACTGAACCAGGCTGGGAAGACTCTAGTTGGTCCACACTGAACCCTTGGAAGTAACCCTTGGCCCCAGAAGATTCTAGCATCCTTGCTGATAAAATAGTAGGGCCAGATGACAAGGTCCCATGCAGGTTCTTATCCTTGAAGCTGCCCAGGGTTCCCTTTGGCCTGTACCAGGCAGAGGGTGATTTGGTGTAGAGAGAGAGAGGAAGCTACCAAATGACCCAGGCCTGGTGCTGGGTTAGTGGGTGATGCACAGGTCCCACCTTGCCTGGCCTCAGGCCTCACAGGACCCTCAGCCCACGTCCCCTAGCCCGTCTCAGGCAGCCCCACCTCACCTTCTCCACCTCCACCAAGAAAGCATCAGTCAGGTCTCGTGGTGGCTGGGCTGGGTCCCAGGTCATCCTGTGCTCCTCCAACAGCTCATCCACCATGGCCTTGAAGGCCTTCTGTGCACGGAAGACCCTGCCAGGCAGCCCTGGGATGCGCAGGAGCACTGGGACCACATTCAGCACCTGTGACAGCCACAGAGGGGACCTGGGTCCCTCCTGTGCTCCTCACTCTCCTGGTCCACACTCAGGTCCCAGCCTCCTCCAGGGTGGACCCAGGCCTGCCTGTCCCACCCAGTGACCAGCTCCCTCCCCAGAGCCAGCCTCCAAGCTCTCTGCTGGCCTGGGCTGCCGGAAGGAGCAGCCCACCATGGGAATCTCCAGCTTGTGTGTTAGCTGGACAGCGGGCACGGGCTCATTTTTCTCTCCTGGAGCCCTCTGACCCTGGCCCACCTGTCCTGCTACTGTTTGAGATGTGCTCACCTCCAGGCCTTCCCTCTTACAGTGTCCTCTCCAGAATGCCCTTTCCTATCATCCCTGCATGCTAATCTTCCTCCTTGGAGGCCCAACGGCATGAAGGTGACCCTGAACAGACTCCCCTGAGCCCAGCACCTCTGGCATAAAGCCAGACTCCTCCTTCAGGGTGTCCTCCAGAAGGCCCAGTATCTTGGCCAAGCGCTGGTCATGATTCTCAAAGTGGTGGGCGTAGATGAGGGAGGAGATCACATTGCACACTGCTCTGTTCAGCAGGGTCCTGGGCTAAATGGGCATCCTGGGAGGGGGCAGCCAGTCAGTGTGGCCCCTGCCCATCTCATCCTCAGCCCATCACCTTGTTGGCAAAGGCTGTACAGAGGCACCTCCTCGATCACCCATTGCTCCAGGGACTTCTTTCCCAGGCCGAAGTTGTGCATGGTGGACATGGAGAAGTGCTGCTGCTTGCGCCAGGCAGGTCCATAAGTTGCCAGGACCACCTGTGGGAATGGGCGGGTATGTGCACCTATCCAAGAGCAGCTGGCTGTGCCCTTGGCACTGCCCCTGCCATTGCACTCCTCTCATGGGTACCTGCCCACCTCTGCCTGTCCACAGACTTTGACCATGATCTGCACAGCCTTCTTTTCCAGGTTTTGCTCCCAGGCCTTAACGGCATTGCCACCCCATCAGGCCCTACCTCACCCTCTTCGCCATTTGCCTTTGGACTGTGGCCTAAGGCCCAGGTGCTGGTAGGTGGGCATTGGTAGGTGGTCAACAGTATACTTGCTGCATTTCAGCACCTCGTATACAGCTACCAGTCCGTTGACCAGGACGCCGGGCTTCCAGGCTAGCTGCAAGCTGAACACATCCCCAAACTGGTGCCATAGCTCTAGGCAAAAGGTCAGGGTGCCCATCAAACTGAGGTCCCTGCCAAAATGCAGGGCCCAGATCACTGGGCAAGTCTTGGAGAACTCAGGTCAAACAGGGCAAGGAAGACTCCTGGTGTCTTTTTTTTTTTTTTTTTTTGAATTATGGGGATCAACTTGGGACCTCAGCCATCCTAGGCAAGCACTCTACCACTGAGCTGCCTCCCCTGCCCAAGATCTGGTGTCCTGATGCTGGTGGGTCACACCTGTTATGGTGGAGAAACTCACGTTGGATCCAACCACCTAACTATGTCCTTGTCAGAGGTGGCCAGAGATTGTCCATGGGGACCACTAGCATCCCACTTTACAGAGGAGATAGGTTCATAGAGGTGAGCAGTGAAGCACAAGCCCCACCGCAAAGAATTGGTCACTGTTCCTCTCTCAACACCCTCCCCCATCCCTAAGATCTTTCCCTCTGATAGATTCAGAAGGGACCGAGGCCTACATAATATATACCCTGTCCCACAGGATCCCAGACCCATTGCCAGGTCCTGCTCTGCCTCCTAGCCTTTGTCTTCCCACACCTTTGCTCTTGGAAAGTTCAGTGTGTCCTTGGGCTCTGGAGTGCCCTCTCCCATGAAGCCTCTCAAACCTGCCTCCTTTTAGGGCCCAGCTCTCTGTATAGCTTGTAGCTTTACCCACCACCCATGTCTGTTGCTGGAGGGCCACTTCATCTCCCTCACCTTGTACCGAGGGTATGGCATGTTCTGGAAGTCAATCTGCAGCAGGTTGCCCAGCCCGGGCTGTGGCAGGGGGCCTGGCGGGTAGTGTGCAGCCCAGAGTTGGCGCCGGTGCATCAGGTCCACCAGGAGCAGGAAAACGGCCACGGCCACACACAAGGGCCCCGTGAGCAGCCCCATCATTTCCTGCTGTCCACTGGATTTGAGAACACCTAGTGTCCCTTGTCACTCCAGGCACCTGGGACCATCCAGGACCTGTCATCTCCCTAAGTGCTCAGTCAGGGCCTTTCCCTTATAAAGGAGCTGAGGCTGCCCTGTGTCCTCTGCTGGGAGCCAGGCTGCTCTGATGACTGTGCAGGCAGAGAGTGCAGGGAGGAGCCAGGGCAGGACAGATGCAGGGGCAGCTGCACAGGTCCTTGCCTCTCCTAGCCCTCTCCAGGTGACAGCCAGTGGAGAGGTGCCACATAAGCTGGACTTGCTGGTCCTGAAGGGCTGGGTACTGGCGCATGGATCACATGTGGATCTTGGAAATTTCAGTGTGTCCTCTCCAAAGTCCACATTCAAGAAGAGGCACAGAAAGATCAGACAGCTGAATGCCATGCCAGCAGTTCTTTGAGGGACATGGGGGACATTGTTGGCAGAGATGAAGGGACTGACTGGCAACCTTCAGACCAAGGCAACCTGGCTGTGGGGCTAAAGTGCCACTGGGAAGTCCTGTGTGAGTGGGTGAGGGGCAGCAGGAGGAAGGTGGCTAGAGTCTGAGGCTTTGCAAATTTGGCCTCAGTGGAGACCAGTTTTGAGGCTTCTCAACCGACCAGGAAGGCAAGATCCACTTACACCCAGGGGACTTCTCAGGTCCGGTCTGTGGCCTCCCATTTGGCTTAGCTGAGGGTTTCTGCCTAGTTGGCAATTTCCTTCCCGTAACTGTCAGAGAAGCATGGCAGACTGGCAGGATGGTTTGAATGTTTGTCACATGGTAGCCTTTGTCTATCCCTTGCTTCTTGGTGTCAAGCCTTCCTTCAAGCAGTCATCCTAATGAGGGTACAAAGGGCAATGACAGGCTTGTCTGTAGTTCAGGCTGCGTCCTCCTCGTGGCAGAGGCCTGTGGTTCAAGATGCGGCAGCCATGACAAAACCCTGCAGTAAGGAGGTCCATGCTTTCCAATGATTGGCACTTATGTGCCAGGCCCTGCTGGTCACAATCCACATGCTCCAACTCATTATTCTTCCTCAGCCACCACAGGGAGGTGGTTTTATGTCCCCAAGGCAGAGGAGACATCACATAGTGAGGTTAAAATCACAATACAGCATTAGGATCCACGTCCACACTCCCAACTCTAGCTCTCCACTGTTTTTGCAGGATATTTTGTTAATGGCCAGTATAGAAATTCCCTAGAATTTATTACTTTAGAAAAATACCCCTCCTCCCAACCTGGAACCACAGTGGGATACCTGTCATAGGGTAAAATGTGCTGAGTACTGACAGGCCCTCTGTCACTGTGGTGAGACCCGGCACCTCATCATACGGCAGCAAGGAGGCTGACTAGAAGTTCTAGGCCCTTGTTCCCCTAGGGAGATATATCCCACCAAAGTACCATTTTGAGAATTCTAGAAATCAGGAGACTGTAGTACTCAGCCAGTGCAGAGTATTTTCCTGGTCTTTACCTTTCTCCCCGACAGGCATAAACTCCCAATTCCATCCAGCTCCTCCCTGGAGACAGAAAGGAGAAGGTGACTGTGTTCTACCTTCTGGTTTGTCTTGATACCAGGTGGGCTGCCTTTATAGATGCAGTTCCACAGGCAGGCACTGGGGGGAGCAGGAGATTACAGGCAGTGGATACTCTCAGAAATAAGAAATGGAAAACTCCAGAGATGGACCAGTCTCTTTGGGAGTTAATGGAGTAGCTTTAGCTTTGCAAGAAGAAACAGTTCAGGAAATCAGCTGCACAACAGCTTGGACATACTCAACACCACTAAGCTATCTACGTCTAAAAACAGGTTGATTACATTTCATGTGTTTTTAAAAGTAATTTAACCTTTATTTATTTTTATGTGATGCTGAGGATCAAACTCAAGGACTCATACATGCTAGACAAGTGCTCCGCCACTTGCTCCAACTCATGTTGTTGTGTTTTTTTACAGCTTAAAAAAAATATTATTTTAAAAAAAGAGCCACTATACACCTCTAAGAATGGCCAAGATCAGGAACACCACCACCACTGAATGCTGGGGAGGATGTGGAGAAACAGGAGCACACATTCATTGTTGGTGGAAATGCAAAATGGAAGAGCCACTGTGGAAAGCAGTTTGGCAGTTTCATACAAAAACTATACTATTCTTACCTTATGAGCCAAATTGTGCTCCTTGGTATCGATCCTAAAACTTAGAATATAGAAACCTGCACTTGAAGTTTATATGGCTTCATCTGTAATTGCTAAAACCTGGAAGCAACCAATATGCCCTTCAGCATGTGGATGGATAAACTGTGGTACATCCAGACCAATAGAATATTATTTGTCAGTAGAAATGAACCATGAACATGTGAAAATACATGAAAGAACCATAAATGCATATTACTAAATGAAAGAAGCCAATCTAAAAAGGCCACATAACATATGATTCCAACCACCTGACCTTCTTCAAGAGGTGAAACAATGCAGACAATAAAAAGGTCAGTGGTTGCCAGGGGTAGGGACAGGGATAGATAAATAGTTGGAGCAGTTTTAGGGCAGTGAAACTACCCTGTGAGAGACCATAATGGAGGATATATGTCATTATAAATTTGTCCAAACTCATAAAATGTACACCCAAGAGAGAACCCTAATGTGAACTGTGAACTTGATGGGCAATGATGAGGTACAAGCAGATTCATTAGTCCTAACAAATGTACCACTTGGGTGGGGATGTTGACAGAGGGGGAGGTTGTATGTGGGGGGAGCAGGACACTCCATTTTCTGATCAATACTGCTATTGACCTAAAACTGCTCTTAAAAAGTCATATTAAGAAAAAGACAGACAGACAGACACACACACACGCTGACTTCAAAAGCTGCAGGAGCTGAAAGGCACAAAGGCAGCTGAGGTGTGGCAGAAGCTAGAAAAATGGGAGTCCAGAGGGAAATGGGCAACAGGGCCACTCCCTAGCTCAAGGTCATCTCTGAAGCCCAGTAACACTCTGAAGCCCTGCAACACTTGTGAGTGCCTTGGTCACGTATCATCAGCAAATCAAAAGAGGACAAAAGAATAAAAGGCAAAGTGACAAACATTTGCTGTCAGGAAAATATTTTCCTCAAGATACATATTTTTCAAGTTTTGTGGCTTAGGCCTTGACACCCGAAATCTATCAATTTCATTTTAACTGTGTTAATGTGAAGTCAAGACCAGAATGGGAAGCCAACCAGCTCAAAAGCCATCATTTCTATGCAGGTCCTGTTCAGCTGCCTGAGCATGGTCCCAAGGCTGACACAGCACACCCACCCACACCTCCATCCTGGCAGAGCAAAATGAGAAATGGACCACATTGCTTGATATGGCCATTAAAATGAAATTAATCTGCCATTTCTGCAGTCCCAAATTGATGAGCACACAAGAACTCATTTATAATTGCTTATTTCTACCTCACAACATTCCTTCCAATATTTCTGTTCTCTAAAAAAAACTCCATTAACATTATTTTTTTATAATCTTTTAAAATTAATGTTCATTGGAAACATGTCCTTATATCAACTTGAGGAACTCTGCCTGTCCCCCCCACAGGTGATAAGTTCTACCGGCCTGAGGGAGTGGTCCAGAGGACCCCTGGGCTTTGGCTGGTTTCAGGCTCTGCTGTAAGGCCTGCCTGGCCTTCGGGAGGCGGGGGGGGGGGGGGGGGGTTGAAGGAGCCAGGTCTGATGGTGGCCTCCTCTACAGTAGAACCAAGACCACCATTTGGGGGCTGGAGTGGGAAAAGGAAGAGACGCATTCACTTTATAGTAAATGAAAAAGGAAACAAGGTTAAAATGAAGTTTATTATTTTTTGATTTTTTTTGTTTTTTGTTTTTTTAAATAAAACTGTTTGTGAAACAGCTATTTTATCCCCATGGCAGAGTGACCCCTGAAAGATGCACTAACCCCTTCTTAAGGCCTTAACAAGATTTTTTTTGTACTTTTTCTTTTTTTTTAAACTCAGATATTTAAAAATTATACAATTTACAAAACAAAACAAAACATAATCACGTAGCATAGGGCTGCTTATCTGACATGCCCCCCTTTTCCATTATAAAAATAGAAACAAAAAGAAGAAAGGGCTAAGTGGGTGTTCCTGGTCAGCTTACCCACCCACAACTCCCACAGAGGCTCCCCGCCAGTCCCACTGCCTGTTCTGGCACAGAGGTCCAGGCCTCCTCCCGTTCCCTGGGTCCCCACGTGTCAGGACACAGATGCCTGGAATGCGCCCAGCACAGAGGGCCCCAGAGGAGGGTCCGTTGCTGGACTTTGCTGCTGCGGGGCTGCACTGCCCACTTGATGGGGCCCTAAGAGATCTCACCAGCCACAGTGACCCAGGACACAGCCTGACTCAGGGCATCTGCCAATTTCACCCCCCCCAAAAAGATAAAAATTTTAAAAAATAATAAATAAATAGTGTTTCTGGAAAGGAAAAAAATTTATTTATGTTTAAACATCATTCCCCCGCTCTTGAAACACGGACCATCCCCACCTCCCACCCAAAACCTTCCCACTTTGACACAGACTACGGACAAAAGGACAGTTTGGGTGTGGCTTGTTGGCTCTTTCCATTGGAGTTGGGGTCTAGTGTTCTCTGAACTGGTGTGAGACAGGCTAAAGATTAAAGCCACACCCCCGTCCTTTATGAGATGAGTTTGTTCAGTTCAATTTCACATTTCAATTTCACTGTCATTGGAACAAATTTGGAGTTAACTAGATAATTTTAAAATAGAATCAAAAGGGATAGCGCACCTTTCATTTAAACAAAGTCTTTCCAGACTAAAAATAGATTTATATATATATATTTTTTATCCCTCCCTTTTATTCCCCCCCTTTCCCCATCAGCCCCCCTCCCCCCTCCCCCCACATTGTCACTATGGAGATTGTGTCCATGGAAACAGCCATTCCAACATCTTGGGCCTTTCTTTCCTGTGGTGTCACTGGTTTGAGTGTGAGGTGAGAACTTGGGAAGGAAGTGCTGGCAGGGCAGGCACGGCGGGGCGGGGCAGGGCAGGGCGTGGCAGCACGGGAGGAGATTTCCATTCCATCATGAGTGTCCACCACCTGTTCATCTCCACAGTCTAACCTGGAAGACAAGCAACAGATGCTGAGCGCCAGGAATTTCTCCATGGTCCCATTGCCAACAGCCCCTGCTCTGTGGTGGCACTGGGATGGGGCTTTCAGCAGGGACCACATGCTCAGACCTCTCTGTAGATGAGCTGTGCCTCAGGACACATCCAAGACAGGTGTGGCACTGCTGTGTGGCTCTGGACCTGGAGCATGGCAGAAGGCAGCACAGGTGCTTGGGCTGCACTCTGAGGGCTTCTCAGGGCACGCCCACCTCCCAGAGCATGGCAAACACTGGGGCCCGTGACTGGGCTCAGCTCTTAGTGGCAGGGTTTGGTTCTCAAAATGGCCAAGGGCACAAGGTAGCTGTGACCAAAACCTAGAGCATGCAATTTGTGGAAGGACTTCTCACAACCACTTCACAGCCTTCTCTAGTGGACACAGCCAGTTCTACACACCAACGAAGAACACTTCCCATAGCCTCTGATGGGAAGGACAGGTCTCAGCCCATTTTGGTGGCTTGCACAGAGCTGGAATGTATTAATCCCTTGGCTCCTCCGGACCCTGATGCCTCCAGGAAGAGATTCTTTCCTCTTTAGGTCAGGCTTGGGAAGGTGGTGCTGATGACCAGATGGGTTGTACCAAGAGCCTATGCAGAATGCTTCACCCCACATGCCCGGGTCTCAGAGAATCCAGTTTCCAAGTAATCAGTCCAGAAAAATTACACCAGAACACGGGGGTGATGGTGGCCTCAACTGCTGCTCTTTTCTGCCTCTCACAGTTCTCTAGCAACTGCGTCCCTGGGGCTCCCCTTGCTTCTGCTTCAAACCTCTCTGATAACCTCGAACAACATAGAAACGCCAGGAAAAGGCAGGTCCCTCTTCTGGTTTCATAACGCTTACTATTGTGCAAAATAGTTAAGAAGGCTAGTGTGTGGGGGGATCTAAGACTGTACTATTCACATGCATGTGTGCATACACCTGTCCTTGCTAAAAGGAGGCTCCTAAGTGCTTGACAAAAACCACCACTAAACAGGAAGACATGTTGCAGAGATAGTAGTACAATGTTCATCACGCTGGGATAACAGTAGAAACAAACCCCAGGCCTCTAGCTCCCAGGCCCCAGGAATGTGGGCCAATGGCGGAGCCATCCTTCCATTTTCAGAATGTACATAGATGGCACAGCATGGCCCCCCTGTATCTAAAGGTGGCTCTGGGCCTCACAGGTCACCCCAATGGTCTATGCTTCCTATACCTCCATTCTACCCCTCCCCAGCAGCCCAGGGAGATTTTCTACCACCTAAATGGCTTTGCTGAGGCCATGGATGCAGGAAAGGGGAGACAAACAGCATTAGACAAAAGTCCTTGTGCCTTCTCTGATACTACTCCTTAGGGACCAAAGGCCCTTTGTAAATAACATGACAAGGGCTGAGTTAATAGGCACCTCAAGGAACACTCAGAAGGTAATTTTGCTGGGGATCCAGGGTGTCTGCGTGAATTGTCAGATGCCAACGTAGCCTCTCCAAGATTCTGCTTGTGGGAAGAAGGCATGGCAGGGTTTGCACTCTCATAAGTGCTCAGCCCTCTTGGGTCTGCATTCCAATCCTGCTCACTACTCAGCACAGCAGGCCCACACCAGACCCCAACCTCAGAATGAGGCACACTGCAGCATCCACGTCTGCCTGGCCAGCTGGTTCTGTGTAGTTGACCTTGGACCTGCCTCTGGGTGCCAGTGTTGCATAGGGAGTGGTTGCACAGGCAGTGGCAGTCCTTCAGCACCTTCTGCCTCAAGCCTTCCAAACAAGGAGTTTTTTGCTGATTAGACTGGCCCAAACACATGAT